GTTTCCTGGCTTACAGGCAGTCGTTCCCGTCTGTTACAGACAGTCTTCCCATTCTGTTACAGTCCAGTCGGTCGGCGGTCCTATTACAGACAGTCGTCCCGTTTCCTGTTAACAGGTCAGTCGTTTCCGTTCCTGTTTACCTTTACAGACAAGTGATGTCTTTCGTTCCTTGGTATTGGAAGAAACAGTCGTCCGGCGCTGTCCTGTAGCGGAATGAATGAAACAGATTCTTCGAGACTGGGTCACGGATCGGCTGTTCCTGCTTACAGACAGTCGTCCCGTTCCTGTACAGTCAGTCGACCCGTTCCTGTTACAGGGACAGTCGCTTCCCGTTCCTGTTACAGACAGTGCGTCCGATTCCTGGTTAACAGAGCAGATCGTCCCCTGTTCCTGTTACAGAGGCAGGTCGTTCCGCGTTCCTGGTTACAGACAGTCGTCCGTTCCTGATTTGACAGACAGTCTTGCCCTTCTGGTGTTACAGACAGCTCGTTCCCGGTGCGTTCTGTTACAGACAGCGTCCCGTTTCTGTTGCGAGTCAGTCTTGGTCCCGAGGTTCCCGTGGTAGCTTTTTACATTACAGGAGTTAGCGTCCGAAGTGTTGGATCATCTCCTTTGACTGCCCCTGTTTTTTACAGTACCGAGGGATGTCGGTTATGTGAGTTTCCATAAGATACGGTTAGTGTCCGGATAAGGATTAGCTGTATCGCCTTCGTATCAAAAACTGTTCAAATACATGTTGCTCGTGTCTACAGGACTAGTAAGTCTCCTTGTCCTGGGTACAGACTAGTGCGGTTCCCGTTCCTGTTTACGCAGTACATGTTCGACCCCGTTCCTTGTTGACAGACAGTTTCGTCGCCGTTTCCTGTACAGACTAGTCGCTGCACTGGTTCTAGTTTACAGAACAAACAAGTAAGTCGTGCCGGTATCCTGTTACAGGACAGTCGTTCGCCGTTCCTGTTTGACCAGACAGATCGTCCCGTTCCTGTATTACCAGACTAGTGTACCCCGTTCCTTTTTCAGGGGACAGTCGTCCGCTTTCCTGTTACAGAGCATGTTGCGTCACCTGTTTCCTGGTCTTTGTTACGACAGTTCGTTCCCCAGCTTCCTGTTACAGTCAGTCTTCCCCGTTCCTGTGTACAGACAGTCGTCCCGTTCCTGCTACAGCAGTCGTCCGTCGTGTTACAGTCAGTCGGATTCCTGTTACAGTCAGTCGTCCCGGTTCCTGTTACAGATAAGTCGTCCGTTCCTGTTTACAGGACAGTCGTCTGCCGTTCCTGTTACAGGACGGCAGTCGGGTCCCGTTCTTGTTAACAAGACAAATTCGTTCCCGTTCTGTTACAGCACAGTTAACTCCCGTCCCGGTTCCGTTCGCTGCTTACAGACAGTACGTGATCGTACCGCTATCCCTCGTTACCAGACAGTCGTTCCCGTTTTCCACTGTTACAGACAGTCGTCCCGTTCCTGTTACAAGACATCGTCCGCGTTGGCCTGTTTACAGACAGTTGCGTCCGTGTGCCTGGTTACAGACAGTCGTTGCCGGTGTGCTGCATGTCCCTACAGAAGTCGTTCCCGTTCCTGTTACAGACAGTCGTTCCGTATCCATGTTACAGAGACCAGTCGTCCCGTTCCTGTTACAGACAGTCGTCCCGTTCCTGTTACAGACAGTCGTCCCGTTCCTGTTACAGACATTTTCGTCCCTTTCTGTTACATACAGTCGTCCCGTTCAACATGTTAACAGACGAAGTCGTTCCGTTCCTGTTGGAGCAGATTCAGTGTTCCCGTTCCTTATCGCATACGATAAATATTATTTTTTCGAGATCGATTATTCAGGACAGTCGTTTCACGTCCTGTTACAGAAGTGTACAGCGCGTGGCCGTGTATCAGAATTGCAGGTCGTGTCATTCCGTTCCTGTTACAGTAAACAGTCTTACCTCATTCTCCTGTTTACCAGACGTGCGTCCCCGTCGTCCGTGTTTAGGCCAGATACATATGTCGTCCCTTCCTTTGTTACAGTCAGCGTCCCGTTCCTGTTACAGGCTTACAGCACAGTCGTTTCCTTTCTCGAGGTTCAGCTGCTTACAGCAAGTCGTGTCCGTTTCCTGTTACAGACGAGTCGTTCCGTGTATTCCTGTGTACGACAGTCGTTTTTTTTTTCTTCCCCGGTTCCTGTTACAGTCAGATTTTATCGCACGCCGTTCCTTAAAGTTACAGACTCAGTCGTTCCTCGGCTATTCCTGTTAACAGACAAGTCGGGTCCCGTCCTGTGTACAGACGAGTCGTCCGTTCCTTTGAGCAGTGGACAGTCGTCCCGTTCCCTGTTGAGGGACAGACAGCATCGTCCGCAAAAATTTGTTTCCTGTATACACGAGCAGTCTTTGTTCCCGATTCCTGTTAACAAGACAGTCGTCCAAACGTTCCTGTTATACAGACCAGTTTTCGTCAGCCTGAGTTCCTGGTTACAGTCAGTCGTCCCGTTCTCGTTGTTACAGACAGTCGTCTCCCGTCCTGTTACAGGACAGTGTTCCCGTTCCTAGTTACAGTCAGTCGGAGTTCGCTGGTTTACAGAATCAGATACGTCCGGGCGTTCCTGTTACAGTCAGTCGTCCCTGTTCCTGTTTACAGACAGTCGTCCCTGCTTCGGCTTGTTACAGACAGTCGTTCCCTGTTCGTTGTTTACAACATTCGTTGCCCTTGTTCTGGTTACGAGACAGTCGTCCCGTTGTTTACGACAGTCGTTCACGTTGCTGTTACATGACAGTCGTCCCGTTCCTGTTACAGGACAAGTCGCCGTTCTGTGTACAGACAGTCGCTCCCGCTGTCCTTGGTTACCAGACAGTCGGTCCGTTCACTGTTACAGACAAGTCGTCCCGTTCGCTGTTACGACCAGTCGTCCGTTCCTGTTACAGACAGTCGTCGGCGCGTTTCGCTGTTTACAGACAGTCGGTCGCCGGTTCGTTGTTCCAGACAGTCGCTCCATTCCTGTTACATTTCAGTCGTCCCGTTCTTGGTGTACAGACATTCGTTCCCTTTCCTCAGTTATCTAGACAGTCGTTTCGCCGTGTCTGTACAGACAAGTCGGTTTCCGTCTCGCGTGGTTACGCGGACAGTGCGTTCCGCGTTCGCTGTTAGCAGGACAGTCGGTGTCCCGTTCCCTGTTACAGACAGTCGTTCCGCGTTGCTGCTGGGATATACAGACAGGGTGCGTGTCCCGGTGTGCGTGTTAGCAGACGAGTCGGTCGTGCGGTTCCTGTTAGCGGAGAGCAGGTCGGTGTAGGTTGCCTGTTCACGGGAGCAGTCGTCCCCGATGTTCGCGTGTGTCTAGCAGACATTCGCACGTCCCGGTTGCCTTGTTACAGACAGTCGGTCTTCCTGATAAGTCCTGTTGGACAGGACAGGTCGGTCTCGTTCCGGTGTTAGCAGACCAGTCGTATCCCTGTGTGTGGTTCCTGGTGGTCTAATCTCTCCTGTAGCTCCCTATGACTCTTGTATCTCAGTGTGTCGTCTCTCCGTCCTTGTTACAGTGACTCAGTCGGGTCCGCTGTTCCTGTTACAGACTAGTCGTCCCGCTATCATGTAAGGTCGTCCCGTTCCTGTTACAGGACAGTCGTCCCGGTTCTGTTTACAGACAGTCGTCCCGTTCCTGTTAAGACAGGTCGTCCCTGTTACTGTACAGGTACAGTTGCGTCCCGTTGCCTGTTAACATGACATGTCGTACGCGGCCTTCCTGTTTACAGATACAGTCGATGTCCCGTTCCTGTTACAGGACAGTGCGTTGGCGGCGGGACTCGTGTTCCTGTGGGTACAGAGCAGTCGTGCGCGTGCTGAGCTTGTTACAGGACAGTCGTCCGGGGGTGTGATGGAGGGCGGTGTTCCGTGTTACAGACAGGTCGTGCCGGGTTCGTGGTGTAAGACCACGTCGTCCCGTTCCTTGTTATCAGACGGAGTCGGGTGTCTCCGGGCTTCCTGATTACAGACGAGTCGTGTTCCCGTTTCCGTTACAGGACAGTTCGTCCCAGTTACTGTTACAGACGAGGTCGTCGTGGCCGTTCCTGTTCACACGGAGTTCGGTCCGCGCGTTCGCTGTTAGAGACATGGTGCGGTCCAGTTCCTTGTTATCAGGACGAGTGGGCGGAGGGCCGCTTGTCCGTTCCGTGCTTTTACAGACATGGTCGGTCCGTTCCTGTTCACAAGGACAGTTCGGTTGCCGTGTCGGTGGCTTGACAGGACAGTCGCTGCCCGCTTCCTGTTTACAGACGGTCGGTCCAGCGTTCCTGTATTATCTAGACACCGTCCGCTCCGTTCCTGTTACAGAAACATCGTCTCCGCTTCCTGTTAACGTGACTAGTGGCGTCCCGTTCCTGTTACAGGAGCCAGTGGGCTTTCCTCCGGTGTCCTGTTACAGACAGTTCGCTCCCGTTCCTCTACAGGATACAGTCGTCCGTGCTGTTTGTGTCTATACAGACAGT